CCCAGCAATACCACGGTGATGAACAGCACATGAGCAGTTGTTTGAACTGCATGAACAGAAAAGCGTATCATTTTTTATAGCAATGCTAGAATGAGACAAGCATGGTATCTTTTGTAGACGAATTACCAAGTGCCCAAGCAGCAGAGTGGTCATGTGAAGTTTAAAGTTATTTCTTTGAGCTGGAATAAATGAAACATAATAGTTATTTTCGTCCCTCATAATTATTGCTGGAATAGAACATCTGTAAAAATGTTTCTTTCTGTGTGGCCCATTGAATGAAAAATTCAGGCATCCTGTCTTTGGGAGCAGAGAAAAACATGGGGGGGGGAGCTGGATTTCACTCTCAGAGGTAGACAGAGGCTTCTGCAGGCTGCAGGGCTTCTGGAAGCAGAGTTTGTCAGCTGGTGTCAGGGGGAGCTGATCTCATGCTTATCTGATGGCAAAACATGGCTAGCAAACTGCTAGTGTTTCCCCAATGGTAATAGGTGAGTGAGGCTGCAGAGCTCTGTCGTATCACGCACATTTCCAGACAAGTTTTCTGGAAGTGGCTTCTAAAGAGAGAACAGCAAAAGCCTGAAGTAGAGGATAAGGTGCTGGCCCTTATCTGGCAATGATGTGACATGCATGTGGTAAATGAGTGAGATCTGCCTGGGTGTCTGTTGGCCACAGGAATGGTTGAAGTAGCCTCTACCGCAGGTTGGAGAACTCTTCTTGCCGGAGTGGGCAAAGAATAGCAGTGAGGAAATACTTGCTATTATAAGCATGCTGGCTACTGGCCGGCCGTGTATTAGCAGATCTAGAGCTGTGAAGCCATATTTCCGTAATAAAAATGGAAAATAATACCTTTATGGAGATGACCTCAACCTTGCAACTGTTCATTATAGTGATTGCTTTCAAATCATTTAAGGTAGAGGCTAAGAATGTGGTGCTGTTGCCTGAGGCAACTATTTAGGATGAATTACCAAAGTTTGGAGGTAACTGTGCTTTTTAACATTCACCCATTGTTCAGGGGCTTCTGAGAGTGACATGCTCCTGCTAGCTGGCCGTTTGGCTCATCCGTGAAGTGACAGCAATGTTTAGAAAACCCAGATGAGTTTGGTGCCTCCCAGCTCAGTAGCCACTGGGAGCACAGTGCGCCCATTGAAGAGGTTGGGGTTTTATTTGTAGGCTACTGAAAAAAGAAAAGAAGACCATAGTGTCTCCCAAGAAAGCCATCTTGTAGGGTCTCATGCACAGCAGCCACAGAAGCAAGTTGTTAGCTGAAGGCTTGCTTGTTTTTAAACTACGAACAACATTCAGAGATACTCTATTTCTTTGATAGCTTTCAGCACTGGTTGTGACCAAAGTTAAGCACAGAGGTACAGAGGGTTTTCTATGCATGCATAACTTTCATATGAGTTCTCACACGGAGAGGAGAACCTAGCCATAAATGCACGGGTAAAATATCAAGCAGAGATTTCTCTCCTTAAAGACAATTGTGTTTGTTTCCCCTCCTGCTAATTATATCCTATAAATCCCCCACTCTCCAAACTCAGACAGTAACATTTTGTTACCTACATTCTGTCAGTAGACTTTACAAAGATCTCTAACACATGTTATAAAAGTTATTGCTATAGTACTATATATAACAGCTTTGCATAAGAGAATAGAAGGCTGCCACATTTAGAAAATGCAGGTGCTATGTAAGCCCCTTTCTGAAAGAAAGAACTTAGCTCAGTTTCCTTTGAAGAACCAGAGACTTGAAATTGAAAACTGTATTAATGCCATTGTCTCCTTGTATCAGCAGGTTCCAGAGAGATTCCTGGAAGTGGCTCAGATCACGTTACGGGAGTTTTTCAATGCCATTATCGCAGGCAAAGATGTTGATCCTTCCTGGAAGAAGGCCATATACAAGGTCATCTGTAAGCTGGACAGTGAGGTCCCCGAGATTTTCAAATCCCCAAACTGCCTACAAGAGCTTCTTCATGAGTAGAGAGTTCAGCAGCTATTTCTGAATGTATGAAAGTAGCAGTCCCCTTCTGATGCCCAAGTCATGTGTGTCTCTATTTTAATTTCATATATATGTGTATCGCATACATATATATGTATATGAAATTAGACCATGATCCCTCCTGGATTTAAGTTTTCATTCAGTTCCAAGGGGATGGTTATTTTACTTCAGCCTTTGGTTTACTTTTGCCCGAGACCCTTAACATTTGGAGAATCAACGGGGTTAATTTTCAGGGAGAAGAGTTTGGAAGCGTGTAAAAGCCTGTCTTAGCAAGTTAGGGCATTATGTTTAAAAATGCTTTGTCAGATTTATTGCTTGCTGCAAAGTGGCATTTTGTCTTAGTGAGACTAATGTCATGGCACAATACTACAGACAATGAAGTTTATATTATGTTTATACTGCTAAAGGTCTGAACTCTGTGGAGTCACTTCATAAGCTTCGAGCTTTTTTTTTTTTTTTTTTTACTTTATATACTTTTTAACGAATAACTAGATTTTGTTTCATACTTCAAAAAACTACAACATCTATTTTAGGTACTCACTCCTAGAAGTGATACCCAAAAAAGCAAACCCTATTCTTCATGCTTTCCTTACAGAAACGATAAATACCCTGCACCAGTAATCAACATGCCAGGTTGTTGGTTTTTCTCTAAATTGCAGCAAGGGACATTTGCACAAGTCAAATACCATTCTTGCAGGGTGAGGCCAGTAATTCATGCACAATATTGTATCAACCACACTAATTTTGGAATATGGTCAGCTTATTAAAGCGGAAGCATTTCACTCTCCATAGAGTAAAAATGAAACCTTCAGCGTCCTATATTGCCATGTCTCAGTCTTACTTTAAGTGGCATTAGTCCAGTCCCTAAATTTATTCTTTACTTAGTCCATTCTGCCACCAAATATCTCCTTTCCAGTATACAAAGTTTTCTGTCTGTATTTGACATCTGTCCTGAAAAGCACTTTTTGAATGATCTTTGATGTAGTAGAAGAAAGCATCTTCACCTCACAATGCTGAGGCAAAGGAAAAAAAAACAACCAAACTTGTTTATAGCTGTAAAGTATAATTAGTCTTTTCCTAACCAGAAGAATAAAAATTACATTTTCATAAAAATCTAATCAAGCATATACAAAAATTGCAGTGTCCTCCTGGCTATGCAGGGTTCAAATAGCCAAATTGGATTTTTAAAATTACAGTAAGTGCAGCTTTTTAAAAAAAAAAAAAAAATCTATTTGAGTAATGTGCTGCACTTGTCTTCTGAAGCTGGAGCTAGTCTTGACCAAATTCTGAGCTACAGTGTAAAGTCCATGATGGATCTGGGTTCACCTGAATGCTATACCATGATACGTCCTCAGACATAAAGAAAGCTAGCTGCTAGTTCTCATGCTTTCTTCAGTGGCTCTCCTTTTCTCACGTTTTCAGAAAGGTATCGTCTCCAGAAGTTTGGGGGAAGGTTGAATATGCTATGGCACTCTGTATTTGTCATTTTCTCTGTCGTCTTTTGTACGGATGCAGTAAGAATTTATTGTTATCGTCAATAGTATTTTCCCCTACATAATTCAATCTGAATCTAGAGGAAGTTCCTAATTAGCTGCGAATTATATTTAGACCATGAAGGATATTGGTATCTTATTTCTTTACTTTAAAATTACATTTTGACTTTGGAGAGTGAAAGTTTACCCATGTGACTAAAGAGCTGACCTGATCATTGCAATTTCACTTCATTTACAAATACTGCTGATAGACAGAAATGTACAAAAGCAATTATTGTTAGCAGAAAGCCTTAAAAACCTGCTGACTTCAAATTAAACACCACAATCCTACGATTCCCTGTCATTCTTTTCAAGCACTGGCAGTATCTGTGGAGTAAAGGCAATGCAGACAATAGCATGGGATGAAGTGCCAACATTTTCACTATGCATTAAAAGGAAAACAAATCTTGATCTTAGACTCCCTGAGAGTACCTAATACTGTACGTATCTTTAGAGTAGACAGGATGTGTCTTTTTCTTTCTTTTTTTTTCTTTCTTCATTTTTTTTTCATTCTTTTTTTCTTCTGTGTGTGCATGATTTGGTAAACATTACACTTCATAAAGATGTAACTCCAATGACTTCTGAGTAAGAAAGGATGAAAATTGTGTTCATGCACTTTTTTGATTTATGGGAAGAAGTGGCATAAAATGCTCAAGTTTTAATACAGTAAAAGTTCTTCATTGGCATACCATCAGATACAAAATATAACACTACATTGTCACCTCGGACATAAGAAAGCAAAGCCATACTTTAGTCATACTATGTGGACATACTACTAGCTACCATCTCAATCTGTGATTTTACCGTTACTTTTATTATGTTTATTATTAATATTATTAATAT